ACATAAATTTTTGAAAGTCTGTAGCTATTGTCTAGCTTTGAGATGGGTTATTTTCACATCTCAATGGCATTACTTGTTTTCGATGATCTGAAAGTACACGACAAAACATATTTTTTTTTTCTGGGTGAAGGAAGCATGAATTGGAACTAGTCTTGTCAAAATCCATTAAAATTTATTAACCCATACATAGCCAAATCTGTCAACGTTCATTTTCAAACTTTATTTTGGCCCAAGCTAGGCACACAGAACAGGAATATCCAAAGTCAAAGCTGATAATAAAGGGCACTATCTAAAGCCACTCAGATAGTTAAATAAACCCTTACATAAAACAACTGTAAACCACCTTGCAGACTATGCAAAAAAGGCAGCTGGCAAACCAGTAATTGTAAAATCCACCGAAGTCAGTGGAAAATATTAATAAGACTCTGTAAGAATAACATGGCTTCACATTTACACTATTATCACCACCTTAACATGGAAATTAGGCTAAGAACAACAGAAGTTCTTAGAAATCAATCTAATGTTATTGTCTTTGTACATCTTTCCAGTACAGAGAATTCTCTGCTAACATCTGCTTATTACTAATTGCTGATAGGCTGTGTTCCCTTACTAACAAAATAATCTCGAAGACAGAACCTGCCCTCTCTCAAAACAAGCAAACTGAGCAAGAGTCTTTCATGTTTTCCCTGACTAGATTGCCATGCCATGCCCCTTGTAGCTTGGCACGTTCATCTAAAACTTTTCCAAAATGTTTGAAAACACTTGCAGAATATTTGGATAGCAGTTTCACAGACCCACATTTGCACTCACTGAACACGTAGCGCACAGCAAAAATGAGTCAAAAGTCTGTCATGAGTGTTCGTCACAATTTCAGTAACTGAATTCTGACCAGTGAGTTTGGATTTAATTCAGAACCTGACAAATCTGCAGGACTGAAAAATTCACAATTCGCCACAGGTATGTGGATATTTTGCCTTCTTTGGGTTGCACCTAAGAACAGACAGAAGTATATTTTCTCAGTGTAATGATATACTCCTACAGCACAAAGGGGAACTCCTGAAGCATGTGAAGGGTGACAATTTCAAGTAAATTCATGAAACTATGTGAATTTATGCCAAAGAGTTTGCCTATGCTGGCTCAAAACTTGCTGCTGAAAATGATATATACTTGCTAACCTAAGAATGCATTTTCCACTGTCCAGCTGCTAGTTAAGAAGATTAATGACTGCTTTGTAGTTTCAATTAAACTCCTTTATCACCAAGAGAGACCAAACAAGTTTTTATTTCAGAAGTACTGCTTAAGAAAGAAAACCAGACCTGCATAACACTGACATTTTATTAGAATTCATTTGTAACAAATGGAACTCGTGTCAGCAAAGAACTGATTTTCATACAGACTTTCTTTCGCCACCAATGTAACGAAGTAAGAAAATAAAAAGCACGCCTTTCATTCTGTAAAACATTTACGCGTACTACTAATTAGAGGTAATTGTATCTTTTTTAACAAGCCATTTTACAAGGTAATTTTTTAAATTTTTCAGTCTATGCATCCAAAACAAGAGCAAAGAACACAATTTTTTATTATCTTTGTAAAGACACTCCAAGCTTGAATGGCAAAGCCACATAACAGATGGTTATGATGAGACCTGCAGCCTTCTGATATCTGTGGAGTATCAGGGCACCAAAAAAAAAACCCAAACAAACAAACATAAACGCAAAAAAAAAAAAAGAGAAATAGAAGAGAATAAAAGGAAAAAATCAGTTGCAAACTTTTTTTTCCTTTTTACATGTTTTCTGTCATTTAAATACACACAAGGGGATTTTATAAGCAGTTTTTTACAGATGGGTTCAAGTTTAAACATTACTGGGTGTAGAATCAATAGGGCAGTGCATAGTACAAAGGTATATATAGAAAGTGCAAATCTCTCTCGAGGGCCACTCCTTCCCCCCGCTATCCTCTCCACTATCTAATCACTCAAATAATTTTTTTTAAAAAGAGCTAAATTAAACTTCTGTATAAATCATTTTTATATTTTTTTTGGGGGAGGGGGTTGCCCATTGCAACTAATCACAGAATTAGACATAATTACACATATAAACATAATAGCACCATACTGGTTATGCTGATGAAACCAATTTTAAGCTTGGAAATGCATGATGTATGTAGACAAAGATGCTCACAATTTAAATTAAATATAGGACTATATGTAACAATACAGAAAGTGGAATGCACATCAATGATGCTAACAGTTATCTTAAGAAAGAGAAAAACTAAAAGGACTATTTAGTTGTACAACAATTTTGCTCACAAATTGGCTCTGTTTTGTTTTGTCTTGTTTTGTTTCTTCAATTCCCTCAGAAGCTTTGGAGCTTGAAAGACAGTCTGCTAGGGAGAATGCTCTGATTCTCTCATAGATCCAGTCTGCAAGAAACTTACCTAGTCTGTGTTTCCAAAACAATGCCTTTCGGATCACTGTGTTTTTCTGATCTTTGAATTAATGAACATAACCACATTAGGTAACTGGGCACTTCAGTAATTATTTTAAAATACAAATCAAGAAAGAAGAAGAAAAGAAGCATAGTGCACATTCTTCTCTTATTCAGATGTAAGTTACAGAATCTCATTCTGAGGTAGCCTTCTAGAATACTACTATTCCATATATATATTTATATTTTTGTTGTGATTTTTTTTCCTTTAAAAAAGTGCTCAAATACAATTCTTGCTAGAGTTTGGTCTTTTGTATTTTCCTTTCTGCTAGTAGCGGTAAAAGTGGAAGAAGAACTAAAAAAAGTTGAAGTCACATTGGCACGCCATACCTAAGCTCCAGTTTGAAACCCCAAAGAAAGAATTCCTTTGATAATCATGTACTGACAATGGCAGAAGACATGATGGAAACTGAGGTCAATGTAAATGGCATCTTGCTAAGAATCTCAAAACATACTTTGTGCTGTTTACAGAATTTTCTTTGTCCCCTAGAAGAAAATCTAGTGTCATTCTCAAATACGTCCTGTGGTCTGTCTTGCTAGCCTTACATGAAATCTCCCACTATGGTTTGACTTTAGCAATCTGTCAACACAAGCAAATGAGCAGGACTTGCCCGCCCCCCCAAAAAAAAGAAAAGAAAAGAGAAAAATGTATGAGCACTGCTAATGTCAATTACTGCTAGTGTACTGCTACATCTCTGCCACGATACCGCTATAACCAGTGACACAGTTGGTTTGAAAAACCAATGAGAAATAGATTTTTAATTTCTGAGCTGGTCTGGTTTTGGAAATATGGAAAGATAAAGGGCCTTGACTACCCATGTGTTTTGGGTTATCATTTATTACCATCCATACTTGATTAGAAACTGGAAATGCATATTTTTCAAAATTGTCTGATACATGTATTAAAATGTTTGAAAAGAATAACAGAGATATGAATAAACTGAACAAATGAAGGCTAACTTAAAGAAATGCTATTCAAAATAGGCATCAAATATAAGGCACTCTAAATGTAAAATTAAAATAAAACCCAGCATCCCCAAACAATGCTGTATGCCACAAAATGTTTGATTTCACAGAGCAATGTGTGTTTGGCTTTGCCCTGTTACATATTATAAATGTAAATTATATAGCGCACACTATAGACAGTATACTATTGAATACAATTTTAAAACATCTTAATACCTAGTATATTACAACATTCTCCCCTCCTAAAGGGATATGCACTGACCTTTCCCACATGCACACCTCTTACATTTAATAATATGAGTTTTTATTGCACTATAGTGTTACAAATATTGAACTTCACTGGAAGCCTAAATCACATACTCTGTGTGCGTGTGTGCATGTGTGTGCGTGCATGTGTGTTCAAGTGACAATGTGGATAGAAATACTTGGGATAGAGATGATATTCAAATATCAATGATGTGCATTCTTCACTTCCCTTTGAAACAGAAGTTTATGGGACTTGGAAATGCAGAGATGATCAATTAGCAGTTTCATATAATTGTAGTATGCTGGAAAACTTTCCCAATGCTTTGATAAATCCAGATATGGAAGAATTTATATGTTTATGTGTATGTGTGTGAATATCCACCTATCTGTATCTCTGTAACTACACAGAGAGTTAGAAAAGGGTAGACAGTAATACATACATATACTTTTATATATAGAGAGAGGGTGTGAGTGTGCATGTGCATGTGTGTGCATGTGTGTATGTGTGTTAGCAGCAGCTTTATACTTTGCGCCTCCCTGTTGATTCCAAAAGAAACCAAAAAGCCCCATTTTGATACAGTGAATATTTTCTTAAAAAAAATAAAACAAACAAAACTGTAAAAGTAATATCTAACAAGACTGTGGTACTGTAGATAAATATAGAACTGCACAAAAATGTGCAAATTTTCAAATTATTTAACATTTCTACAGCACAATATTACAGATAACAGTTCTACAGCTTAAAAAAAATCTACAGTTTTTAAACAAAAAAATTAACTGTTATGTAACCTTTTAATTCACTTCATTGAATGATAAACTCTTGTTAAAAAAAGGAAAAAGTTTACACAGTTAAAAATGAAGCACAGGTCAGCAGTATCTTTACAATACTAAAAAACTAAATCAAGGACTTTCTTTTTTAACATTCCCACATTTTCCCTAAAGTGTTATGATGAGCAGTATGATGGGAAGGGGCGATGCTGAAGTAAAGAGTTCACTTTGTTTGAAAAGTCAGGACTCAACCTTTTCACAAACATCTTTCACTGAACTGCAGTTCTCTCAAAATTCATCTTTGCAAAAGCATGCAATCCTGAACATGATGATCATTCTTTCCTTAATTTCCTCTTCCCTTTAACTTCAACCAATGTCGCACCATTTAGGTATCTGTAAATGAGATCCTTCAGACGCCTCAGTGGTCAGGATTCTTTTATTATGGTTAGGTTATTAAATTGTGACTTCTTGGTCCACATGGAATAGGGATTGTTTTTTTTTGTTTTTTGTATATATCCCCATTGTTTTTGATGGTTTTTTTTAATTTTTATTTTATATATCCCCAATAATCGCTCCTTAGCTAAGAGTTAAGAAGTACTTCTAAAGCACATCATATGGCTCAGAAGCGGCTCTCTGGATCTTGAAGGGCCTGCAATAAAAATCCATGATGGGTTTTTATGTTGCATAGTGATCAAAGCTGCCCAGATACTCCAGTGCGGCTCGATAGCAGAACTGGTATTGATCCTGGAGAAAGAAAGATAGAAAACATAGGCATCAGAAAGCCACCTTGCTGGTTGATTTCTATTTTCTTTCAACTAAGAGTGAATACTTTGTGAGTACAGACAAATATACCACAGAGGCATCTGCAGTTCAGCAATATTCTCTTGCTGACATCAACAGAAAACCAGTCTGAGTTACAACAGATGAAGATAGATACTTGTTTAATGCAATAACTTTTTCCACACAATGTAGCTTCTTTTAGTGCAGAGACTAAATACCCACCTACTGACTGTTACTCTGGATTAATACAACATCAGCATAAGGCTTTCTTCTTATGCGAACAGGCTGAGACACTTTTCCCCTATGTATTTGAAAATAAGTGGCAAAATATCCAATTAACTCTATAGTAAATACAGCACACTAAGTGACAAAATCCATTGCAGCTTTGATACCAAATGCTGTATGGAAAACCACCACGTTAAAAATCATGTTAGGGAAGCAAAGCAAATCCCAGCCTTCCAGTAATATAGGCTTTGATGAAGACGTGCAGATATGTTAGCCTGTGGCAAGAAAAGGGTCTAAGACAGAAATGTGCAGGTAAAGCACCTTACTAACACAAACGAGATTGCATTTCAACCTACACCTGGAAGCAGAGAAAAGTTCAGTTTGTCAAGAGATTTGCTTACACTTCTGGTGAATCCACCTTTTGGTATTTAATATTATTCTCACCCCCGCAGAGCAGTCCTTTTGCATCTTTATGTGACATTGCACACTTATACTAAATCGACACATTTGTATACTAATTTGCAATTGCAACTCAGGGTTCACATGTTAAAAAGAAAAGAAAAAGAAAGAAAAAGGAACTTGCTTCTGAAAGCCCTCCAAAATATTGAGAAGGTCTGTTTATTTATCTGATAGTGTTAAGTGGTAATCCCACACATGTTATACCTCTTAAAATCACAGTTAAAATTCTTTTAACTGTGGAAATCATCAGGTACTTGCTTCAGTGTAGCAATCTGATCACTAATCATGATTTCTGATTTCTATTGGAACAGTGGGAGAATGCATTAAGCATATGCATTAATTTTAAGTATATGTGCGGACCACATGGAGTTCAAGTGCTTTGTTGAATAAGGATTAGATTTCCTAGCAGTTTATACTGCTGAATGAGAGATTCATTTTCCACAGAATCCTGAACAAAATGAGTACACACTTCTACTTTCAGCAGAGAGGATGAAGAGTAGCCTACAGAAATAAGTCAGAGTAGGAGGAGGGAGAATATATTGCAGAGCTGAATGCTGTATTTGTCAGGTAGGCTCCAAGAAGCATAGTTTTTCTGTATACTGTAGTTATTTCTTGGAACCAAAAAAAGAGAAAGCAGTCATTTTTCATTCTGCTTATCCAGAAGTACAATGGCAGTGAAAAAGAAATGGAATTAACTTTTCACTTTGGTCACAGTGATTTACTTGGCCAATTGACGAGTTCAAAAATAAGTGTCCTTATTTTTTATATAAGTTTTTATGAACTTGTCTTCTTAAAAATAAGAGTATCCACCTTTTATTGAACATTTAATTTTCTTCTGGAAAATCACAAACTCTGGAAAATGATTTTGTATTTCACAGACTGTAATTTAAAGGCCAATGTCAATCAAATCAGACTAAATAAATATATGACCTAAAATGTTTATCTTCTCTTTCCCTTTTGCATGGTTCTCTTAACCTATTTGCTCTGGCTTAGTTAAAATCTCCTGTTCAGAACTTTCACTAGAAATGAAGTACAACTAAAAATGTCTGACTATTCTTTACGACATGGCACAGTTCCAAGCATCCAGGCCCAGGAAATCAGATGATACTGCTTGTCCCATTTCTTATTTCTCTGTGACATTCTTGCTAGCACAGAAATTATTTATGATATAATTTTCCTTAACACTGAATTTACCATTATGATTTTCAGGCCAAACAGCCACTTGCCTGGTGACATAATGTCAAGAAAGCCATGAAAATAATACAGCGTCAGCCTGAAGCCATGAACAACACTTTGTTCCCGGTACAAAAAAAAAATATCAGTGGATTCACCTGCTCCTTAATTACCACATATTTCTGCCAGGGAAAAAAGGTTTAAATAAAAACAGGCAATGCTCCTTGGAAAACCGTTTTCCTCAACTACCATAACTTAGGAGTGTGATGTGTTTGTATCTGGCAGGGTTTCTTTGTAGTGGTGGGTGGGGCTACAGGGATGGCTCCTGTGGGAAGCTCCCAGAGCCTCCCTCAGGTAAAAGTCAGATCCACCTCTGGCCAAGGCTGAGCCAGTCAGCACTTCTGTGATCAATGTACTTAAGAGGAGGAAACCTGCTGGGCAACTTCCATTCCTTTGTGTTGGGAGTTCTTTCTTTTGGAGTGGAAAGGGGAGGTGGGAGAAGCAACCATGTGGTCACTAAGGTCTGTGAGGAAGGAGGGGGACTAGGGCGCTGGAGCAGAGACTTTGCTGAGGCCTGTGGTGAGATGGCAGGATGAGACCTTGCATACCAGGGACACTAGCAGTGGCAAGATATCCAAGATGCAGCAGTCCACAGAGGATCCCATACTGGAGCAGATGACCATGTCTGAAGCACATCATGACTCCCAGGGAAAGCCGCACTGGAGCAGTCTGTCATCGGGAGGACTGCAGCCTGTGGGAGGGGCCTGTGCTGGGGCAATTTGGGGAGAACCACAACCATGTTGGATGGACTCATGTTGAAGAAGCTTGAGGAGGGCTGATACCGATAAGAAGGACACCACTTTGGAGCAGGGCAAGACTGCGAGCAGTCCTTCTCCCTGAGGAGGAAGGAGCGGCATGGATAATGTGTAATGGACAGATAGCAATCCCCATCCCTGCACTCTTGCACAGCTGGAGGGGAGGAGATAGCTGGAAAGGGAAGGGTAGGGGGAAGGTGTAATTTAGATCTGGTTTTATTTATTTTCTCACTGTCCTACTTAGATTTAATTGATTGGTTAAGCTGGTGGTGCTTTTGGTGTTTAAATAAAATTTAAATTTTCTCTCCACATCTGCTCCATTTTTTGCCCATGCCTGTAAGTGTGAGTGAGCCCTCCCTTTCCTTAATCTCAATCCTCAAGAATTGTGTTGAAACTCCTCCTCCTCATATTGCAAAGGAAGGCGGTTGGAGTGATTGAGTGGCTGTGTGGTTCCTTGTTGCTGGTTGTGTGGGCTCAAACCACAACAGGGATACACTAATGAAATGATATTCTTTCTTCTAGTATCTACTGCTGTAACAGGAAATGGTCCTTGTAGTACCTTTATGCTAGATTTTACACTGTAGTCATATAGTCACTATATGGCTTAAGATATAAATTTAAGTACATTTTATACAGATTTTGACTATGGAACTACCCCTTCTTTTCCATCACTATTGTATATAGATACTGTTTTGCTCACCTCTGTCTGTACCATGGCTGGCCTCTGCGTCCTTAACATTTTGACAGTCTGGAAGATATCTACAACACCTTCATATCTCATTCTTTCTAACACAATGCTCAGGGTTATGAATACTCCAGTCCTCCCAACACCCGCACTGTCGCAATATAAAAAAGAAAAAAAAAAGGAAAAAGGAATGTTAATTGACAGTTAATGCTGAAAGAATTGGCTGACAAATTATCTGTGCTTACAACACACCATATGTGTACAGATTTCTATATGGAGAAGGGCTCACTATGCAAAATTCCAGAGCAGACTACCACATCACATTTGGAAGCACAAATATGCTCAAGCAAACTTCACATGCTACTAAGTACATTCTGTCTTCATTGCAAAGTGACATTGTTTATTCATCCAGATACACAGTAATCAGTGCATGGTGAAAGAAAATGAGAACATTTGTTGCCCATGAACTATGTTGGAGCTGACAAGAGAAAAAGATGCCAAAATGTATTTCACTGCTTCCTTTACTTTAGCTCCTTCATGTATATGCCCTGTTCTGTGCCTCTTCAGTGTGTTAGTCTACCTTCTACTTTGAATTAGAGGTATTCAGTGGATTTTTACTTCATATTGAAATTGCTCATACACACAACAGTTTAAATGACGAATGCACAAAAACCTTAAGACACAGCTTTTACACAAGTCTAGCAGTCTGGATCCTTACCTTTCAAAATATTGCTATGTATAAACTATGTCATCTATATTAGTGTGAAATATCTTCTTTGAATATATGGCTTGTTTGCCCTCTGATCTGTCTTGGGTTCCTGTTATTAGCTAAAACCCCCAAGAAGTGATAGAAATTCTTGTGATGGGTAGACCCAATAGTTGTCAGTTATTAAAATTAAACAACATAAATACTTAAAAACTCATCATGGTACAAACTGGAGCATTACTACAATAATTACACAAGCACTGGGAAAGTGCAGGTGCACAGGATTTTGTGCTTCCTGAAAGAAACAAGTGAATTTACTAATCTGCGTGGGACATTTCCTACTGATGTAAATTGACTAATATTAATAATGATGATTAGCATTACCAATCTCTAAATTATCTTTACAATTATGATAAGACATTTAAAGACCAAATCATGATGAATTATACTGGATTTGTCTTTGATTCTACCAAAGTCAGGGGTACAAATCTCTGTAATTTCGGCATGAAAGATGACACCCACTTGGAAGGGATGCATAACATAATGCAAACAGTATTTCATTGCAGTTACAAGTGGACAAGTTTGCATGGTACAAAGAACTGAGAAAAAAACTATCACTTTGTTTTCTTATGTGTGTCTTCATAAAGACATAAATATTGCTTATCATTCCTGTGCTCTCAAAACTCACTACAGGAAGACTAAGGCTTGTTGTTATCACAGTTGTCCTTCATTTTTCCATGCCAAATGAATCCCAAACACAGCTATGAGACCTTATTCTTTTTTAGCAGGCCATATAACTTATTAGGTACACAAAAATAAGTAGGATTTGAGTAGTCCAATATATTTATTTTGTCTTTCTTTCAGATCGGGGGAGCATAAAAAACTCTGTTAAAACACACTGGTGTTTTATCAACTTCTGGTTGCTCCTGGCTTTGGAAGGACTCAATGATCTTAGAAGTTTTTTCCAACCTAAATGATTCTAATGAGAATATCTTTTTCTCTGTACTTTCATATGTGCTAGTAAACTTGTTCACTATGTCTTTATGCTAGTATTAGGGTATTACTTGGCTTGTAGGAAGGACTTGGAACCCATATCAATATTTTGCATCTCCGTTACATAAATAATATTTAATCTAGCAAAAAATAATTTAATGTTGCAAAAATCTAAAGCATCTAAAATCCTAACAGAATTTATAGAAAACAATTTATTAAATAAGAGATAGAAGACAAAGATATTATTTTTGGCCATCTGCTATAGACTCTAGAGTGCTGTACAGAAAATAAATAAAAAATACAGGGATATTAAAAAAGCCCACCCTGGATTACTCTTACACATCCTGTAAGCTGTTTTCATCTGCATATCAACTGTAAAGGAATTGAGGGAAGATATCACATCAAAAAATGGGCATTACATTCTGAAGTCAGAACTCAAGGATTCAGCGTCAATGATTTTTTGAAAGGCAAATTTTCTAAACACTCCTTTGTACTCCATTCCCTTTCTTGAGATAGCTGCCACTTTTTTTTTTGGTCTCACCTTGATTGCTACTAGTATGTCACTGAAGTGTATCTAACTTGTTTACAGCTAATAATTCCCACCAATGGAACAGCCCCACTTTTAGTTACCAGCAGAAAAATAACCCACCGGATTTCGCAGCCTGTGATAAGGCTCTTCCTACTGCTTTCTGTGTGTAGCATTGACCAGATTGTATTAACCACCATTAGAGACATTTTTAAGTCAAGAAAAAAAATTATTTCAGAAGAACCTCTTGTGTGTAAATGGCACATCACCGAAAAGTTCTCATTTTGTAAAACAGTCCTGTGTGTTCCTTTTTAGATCTTCTATTTGATTACATTTTATGTTAGTTCACCTAAGAAAAGTTATTTACATACATACCTTTGCTGCAACCAGAAATCAACTTTAGAAAAAAATGAATCTGCATATGAGTTCTGTTAAGCCTTTGTTTACTTACCTGCAATGAACAGAAATTGGTCCATCCTGACCAAACTGCTCTTTTGTTTTATGCACTTGGCCTATGAAGTCAATGAATCCCTCTCCAGACTTTGGCACTCCTTGTTCTGGCCAGTCAGTGAACTGGAACTGCCTCACTGTTCGGGACTGGCCATCCTTCAACAAAAGACACAAATAATGTATCCCAAAAGCATGTTCCAGTGGCTGGAAGTCAGTCAGCCAAAAACCAGAAAGAGAATCACAAAACAAGCTGTTATCACTGCTAGTAGCCTGAGTAGCTGCAGTACAGCCCTAACTCACGATACACGGACATTGAGAGGAAGTGAGGAAGGGCTAAGATCACATTTATGAAGACTCTCTCAATTACACTACTGGCTGGTACTTTTGGACACAATGGCCTGCTGGTGCAGTTTCATTAACATTACATAGATTCCCGTCTCTACTGGAAGGGGGAGTTTTCTGACATTTTCTGGGGGTAAAAAACAAGTCTGAGGCTAAAGACAGAACAATATCACCAAGTTACACAATTTTATTATTTTTTGCTAAATTTTGTTTTGAATACTTTGGACTGCAAAATTCCTTTCAATCTAGATCAGGCAGAATAAGGCCATCCAATCTGACTCTCCATTTCCTAGATATGCTCATCTACTGCACAGAAGGAATATCTTCACTGATAAGACTCATTTAGTCATTGCCCTTTTTGCGGATGAAATCTTTAATAACATGGTGCTTTCTATGAGATGGACATTTGCCTAGAAGAAGACAAGTCAAGACAAACCAGTCGTTTAACAAACCATAAACTTCCTTTTAATCATTGTAATTGCATTCATTAACACCTTGGACTCTGAAAAATTGAGAAGGGCTTTCTTCCTCAAAACAAATCAGCTGAAGCTGTTCATTCCCTGTTTAGGAATGCTGACGAGATTGTTTAGAACTGCAGAATACCGCAGCATGGTTTTTTTTGTTATGAAGCCATTTGAAGTTTTAAATGACAACTTCTCCTATACGTCTATTTAATGTGTAAACAGTCAGGAATAGAAAAATACAGTACAAATGGATAAAATAGATTTGTTCTAAATTTTCAGACATTGTTCTTGCTGATTTTGATCCTGTCATTCTGCACAGCTGAAGGGCTGAAGGGCATAGAAGCATGGGCACATGAACCACTGATGTCAACTAGTTCCTCTAGATACATTGTTTCCTAGGCACCCACTTCCACAAAATAGTCTTCTGCCAAGTGAAACTTAGGAGTAATTGGTATGATTATTGAAGATCACCCTCCAGAAAAGAAGTACAAGTAATGATAGAAGTAGGAACAATTTTTTTTAAATTTTTTTTTTCCCTCTACCACAAGCACTCAGCTATTACAAACCTATGGAATCAAATACAAGTGATTAAAAAAAAAAAAAGAAAAAACAATACTTTGCCTTTATGCTTCCTGTGGTACTGAGCGTTTTTGCCTCCCATATCCCAGATAAGTAAGGAAACCAGAAAATGTATGTCTCTAATAGCCACTGTTCCATGAGTGGACATACATATGCTTCTTTGACTTACTATCTCTTTGATTCTTACTGAACCACTGCAACAATTTAGTAGTCTATTTCTGTGGAACACTCTTGCCTGCTTAAAAAAAACCCAAACTTTTAAACAGTAATTATCCAATTCTATTTCTTGTGGGCATCAACACAAAGAACTTAATATATCCTATCAAAATGCCATTTTGTTAATGCAGACTTCTCTCATAATGACCTCTGTGATTTCATCTACCTCCAAGAAGACATAACGAAATTCCATCCTTCAGACAGCCTTATACATATTTATTAATTAAATTTACTATATATCTTTTGCTCAAGAAGACACAACAATAGGTTGATTCTCTCCAAAATAACCTCACATACTTCTAAACTAAAGAAAGAAAACCTTAAGTCCACATCACTTGCAACATGTTAGTTAGGGACCTGAAAGCTTTTCAGCAATTTCTGACCCTGATCTCGTTAAAGATGCCCCTGCTCACTGCAGAAGAGTTGGACTAGATGACCTCTAAAGATCCCTTCCAACCCAATACATTCTTTGATTCTATGGTTCTATGACAGGAATTTTGCTAGAGTAGCAGTAATGTTTTTGTGGCAGAGAAGATAAGAAACATGTTAGTTTATTTGAGTCTAGGCTGTCACTGAAAAGACCACAAATTTCTACCTGTAAAATGGATTCAATGGTAAATATTTGCTTTTAAGGTGTGTCTAAATCAACTGTATTGGTATATTTCATGTTCATAATAACTCAGTAATCCAGTGCAAGTCTGTGAAAACTGTTCTGATTTAGGTTTAATGGCAATAAATTCTGTTATTTAATGCTATTTAATAAGCAAAGAAGCAAAGTTAGGTAGGTTGATGTTTGACTAGCATTAAGCGTATTGAGAACTAATCTAATTTGTTATACATTTCCCTCTGCTAGTGACATTACAAACAGTGCTGCTTTCTTTTAATGAGATGCTTGCCAACATCAGCCCAAATACAAATGCCAAATTTTATTAAAATCTTGACTTTCAAATATTGTGACAGTTTGCACAGTTACCAAAATACAAACTTTCAGATTCCTATATGCAGCAGCGGGCTTGTTAAGTATCATCCTACTAACTGGCTGGCCATTTGGATTTCTTTTTGCTCCTCACTGGGGATATTCAATTGTCTTTTGATGAGGCTGTAGAATTTATAATATTCTCTTACGGCCATGGTTAATGGTTTAGCCTTAAATGAGACTGCCCCGGCATATTGACCTCTGGAGTTTACAGACAAAGTGAGTATAAAGCAGTCAAAAGCAGTAGATTGAAACAGTTACAGAGGTCAATTTCACCTTACAGCAATTTACAGCTTAGTTTCAGAAATAACAGGGAGTGCCACACCAGACACTTGCTGCTGACACCTGCAAAGGCAGTGTGCTTCTTGTCTTGTCCTGGGGAATAATTGGCCAGCTTGGCTCTGACAGAGCATGGATGAGTTTGGAGATAAAAAGGAAAGAGGTTGGTTATAACCACCACAGCATTTACTTTGAACACCACAACTTAGTTAGATAGTCTCAATTACTGGGCGTGATAGGCATAAAAGCCTAACTCCAGGAAAACTAAATTATACATTTTGGTAAGTAGACTCCACTGCATCTGGCAAATTTGGAAGGAGCTATAGTTTCCCAGTACATCTAGAAAATTTCAGATGGCCCTGTGAGCTTGCCATTGATTGCTTAACAAAATTTAGAACATTAAGTTAAAGAGGTTTTAAAATTTGAGAGGCCATACATGTGATGGTAAAATGTCACAACAGGACTTCCACGGTGCATGTGTGCTTTTTCAGAAGAGACGTATTAATATCTGTTCCAATAAAACTATTTCTGGCAAATTGTTATCTGACCATTCCAGGCTTTTTACTGGTTTGCTAGCTACGAGTAAACAGGCCTGGTTCATTATAAACTCTTGAAATAACTTTTTGGAACTGTATACTATTTGCAGATGCTTCAATAACATCTGTGATTTTCTGTTATCATTGTTATTTAGTGATCTATGCTTACAAGTGTAGTTAAAAACTGATGTTAGGAGCCTGTTCTCCACTTTCGTTAAGCACAAATAGGTTAGAAAAGCTATGGATTGTGATCCTTGCTAGATTTCAAATAGAATGAAAATCAGACCCCATATATTTATATTTTCCTTTCAAAACCACACACCTAAGTTTCATTGCCAAACTAAAACATTCGTATGCTAACTTTGTTAGTGACAACACTATCTAGCTCTTTTTCAGCAATACCTAATTTTACCTGAAGCTAACATTAAAAGCAGCAGTCTAGACAACTACGAGAAAGTCTAGTTATTTTGGATGCTGACTGGCAACTCCGAGTTATCACTCGTTTTATTCATGGACAGTACATCCTGCTATTTTGGTTGAAACAATAATATTCTATAGTGCTTACAAAAATAGAGGCTGTCAGTAATTTTTTCTGCCATGCAAACCAAAGTACTAGAAAGCAAAAGTCTCATAAATGCCAAATATATATATTTAAAGTTTATGTATATTTCATCTTATTTCAGTGCTCAGTTTTGGACTCTGGAATTCACATATAAAATGCAGTACGAAAATGAGGATGCTAGGGTCACAGCTGCGTGTATCTATTCTGCAGATATACTAGAGCAATGAAAATATGCTATGCCAAAAAACAAATTATAATGTGCAAAGCTTGTCAAGCTTTTATCATGAATGCTATTTGCTCTGCAGTTTTTAAATCTCAAGGTATTAACCTTCATACTCAGTTTAGGAGGTAGTGCTGAACAACATATTTATAGCTGTAAGTGACAAAAAATACTCATAAAAATAAGGGAAAAAGGGGAAATGATCTTCAAATAATCTAATGTATTTCACACAAATAATTATTCAGAACTACACCAAGCTGTGCTGCCCAGTTGTTTGCTCTCAATGAAGTCAATTGTTCTTACACAAGGATTCCATTCATTTAATAACTTTATCTGGTTTTTTATTGCTTCAGTACACCCTTTATTGCTTAAGTACACCATTAGAGTTTGTATAGTAATAATAATTTTTTTAAAAAGAGGAAAAGAAAGAAATTGACATTATTTAAAAGACTTATGTGACCCAGTGCACTGCTTTGTTAACTTACCCTTGCATCTGTAACCTTGAATTCCCTCAGAATATACTGTGGCATGTTGTACTCTGCCATTGGATCTACCACAAAATACTGATACCTGGCTGAGCGCTCTGCAGGCCAGTACTGGTGGCATTTCTCCTACAAAATAACAATGCAAAATACATTTCCTGTTACTCATGACCACTACTATAAACTGATACAAAAACTTTTTCACTTATGTATTGTCATCACCATCATGACAGCTAGGCTTCGCGAATGAAGATATGAGAAGGGCTCTACCCACACTGTGGGATAGGCAAGTCCAGTTGCAAAAGGCACAGCAGAAATTCTCCTCAGGAAGTATTGGCGAGGCACAGTTCTTTTTGCATTGTCTTTTCTCCTCGAGACTAATTCTACGTGTGTTCTCAAAGGAGGCAGCAGCGTTATTGATGGGGTGTCTCCATGTCTCCTGACAGGAGGCCAGAGTGGACCACTGATGGTAGTCAATATGGCCAAAACTGAGGTATGAAAAGTGCCATTTTGCTCAGTTTTATCATTTATCAGTGACAGGAACTATCTCTATCCAAATTTTCAGTATAGAATGGAATTTAAATCTGGGGGCCACCTTGATTTTCGTTTCTTCCTCCTATAGAAACAGGTCCACTGGCCTTAGTCAAGACTGCCTCTGCATCCATAAAGCCATGTTTTGAATCATCTTTATTCCCCAAGATACATGGCTTGAGTCAGACTTCATTTATCACACACCCGCTTTATCTTGATGTAATCCTGTCCAGATAGTAAACTGCTTTGTTCTTTCCATTAAACAAAGCAGCACTTGAATGAGTTTAAGGACTGTAAACGAGGTGCTGAAACCTCAGTGCTATGGACATACAGAAGATATTCAGATCTCAAAAATATCACACTTTCTTTTAATGTTGTTAAAACCAGATCCTGCAAAATTGAAGCTTCCAAATAAGAAATCTTCATTTTTCAATAGACAGCTATGCTTTCTCTGCAGGCTTCGGAAGATCAACATGCAAACATGTCTATTGCAACACATCTACAGATTGGAAAATCTTAAACCTACTGATCATCAGTGCTACTTGTATTTCAAAGGAGAAGGAACTCAAATCCTCACCTTTATCTTTAAATATTCCTATAACAATAAAATATTTTAATAAAAAATCTATACAGCAAAACACTTTAGTAAAATAATTTTATAGCAGTACTTACTCTGCCCATTTCTCTTAGCTTAGTTAGCATGACCACAATTGTAGAATTATGCTCCCAGAGCATTCTCCAGAAGTCTTCAGTTGTTTCTGCTAAAGGACCCTGTGTAGCTATATAAGCTTTTTGTTGTCTATGTTAAACAAAAAAAAAAAGTAAATTAAGAAAAATATTTTAATCAGAAAAGTGAATTGTTACAGACTTTGTTGATACGTAAACATTGTCTAGAGGAAAAACTTATATACTATTCTTAATAAGCATATTAAAACCCTATGACAATTGTTTAATCAAATTATGATATTTTATTTTTAGGACTTTGAGAGGGAAATTACTCTGTTAATATTATGATATATGTCTTTATCATTATTATTTAAATTGTAATGCAACTCTAACAGCTCAACTTTGCGTGCTGTAAAAAGCACTTAAGAAACAGCTGTGCTGGTTCATTTTGTAGAAATAACTGTCTAACAATCTATTAAGTTTAGGAATTATAGCATCAAGCAGTTTCTTTATTAACTCCTTTTCAACAGTCTGATGCCTCCAGCAAAAGCAGGGCAGGAAGAAAATTCAAAAATAGAGTGCACTGCACTTCCAGGTCTTGATACCGTACTAGTGGAAGTTACCACCGAGCTGTTAAAACTTCTGGATCAGCACCTTTATAAGACAACGACCAGTTAATGTTGTTCTTTCTTCTTTCAGCAACAGTAACACCTTTGTGGATGGCAATGGAGATGAAGGTTATTTCTAATTATGAGCAGAGGCTCAGAAAATTATCTCTGTGCGTACGGATACTCAGGTACACCTACACTGCCCTAAAGAAACTATACTGCTTCTCTTTCACGTCTTTTCCTACCAGCTGCTTAAGTTGGCTGAGGCCACATTGCTCCATGTTGTCATAAAGATGCTGGTGGGCTACACAACTGTTTATGTATAAAATGCTTTTGGCCACTAGGTCTAGCCTTAATCTGTGTCCTAAGATGATAGGTTATAACCTTGACACAGAGAGTGTGTCTCCTGTATGTTATTTCTATGTATCTTTTTAAGCAGAACAGTTCTGAAGCAAGAGAGGTTCTAAATCATGAATGCGCTTAAACTTTCAGCGACTTTCAGCATGTAAAACATACTCGAGTTCTTAATGGTTTAAAGATGGGTAAAAATATTATGTCATTTGCAGAATTTTCCTTTATTGTATGGGTGAAAATCAAAACCTTTTATTAATATTTTAAAAACATCCAGTCAAACAGGGCATGTGCAGATAATGAAAAATACTAAATTTCAGTATTAAACTTTGTTATTTTCAATGTAATTACACAAATAATTTTGTAAACTTTTAAAACAGTCCACATGAGAACATATCGGCATTCATACCTGTATCCATCAATGAAACTGGCATTAATATAATCAGAGCCTTCTACTCCTCGGATTGGCTGCAAGCATACTCTTGTAGATTCATATGGCATTATATTGACAAGGCGATTTTTGAATTTATTACATGGAAGATTGGCACTGATGAATCTTGAAGTGTGAGCTTTAGAGCTAGCAAGACGCTGTTGAAAAAAAATTAAAAGAATTAAAGCCAGGTCTAACAAAAACAAAACGACACCATCTGATTTGAGGCTCCCTGGTCATTATCTGGCCATTATAAGCAATTCCAATTTCAGATGCTTACTTTTCTATATTCTATTTCATTACGTAAATATTTGTAAAGCTTCTTTTAAAACCTTATAAAAAATCAATCTGTGCTCAGTTATTGCATACGGACAAATTTTGAGTATTAAACCATTAGACAAACACACATTTCAAGCTAATGAAACAATGAAGGAACAGCAGGGTTAAACCATCCTCACCAAATGGTTCTTGTCTGGACATCAACTGAGGATAGAATCCGACTTTTTACAATGTCTCATCTTCTTAATTTAACATTTTACACTGTCAATGTCTTATCTTTTAATTACTGGAAACAACTGATGGAGGACAGAGCAGCACGAAGAGTTGCACCACTTGTTTTTGGTTCCACGCAACATAAAATGCCAGTACCTTAAATTCCAGCTCCATTCCTGTGACATTCTCGCCTGTTTCTATCTGTGTCAGCTTCTGGATATATGCATACAGGTTTCTGGCTGGCACTTCCGTATTTCCACATGTCACTGCTTCCAGCAGTGCATCATGGATAAAGATGTATTGGTCCTCAGTTTGAACCATGTAATTCCTCTGCGCTCTCATTAGAGTTACGTGGCCATAAATATCTACAGTCTTTTCATGCTTTATTCTCTCCAACATGGCATCTATCACAATGAAACAGCCAGTCCTGCCGACTCCAGCACTAAAAGAAATGAACACAGGAGGGACGACATGGGGGACTATTTCATGCATTGCGCTTACTTCTATGGCATTCAAGTTTTAAAGTTTCATAACAATGATTTTTACAGCACATTTTTCTGAATATAAACATCGGAGTGTGTGAAAGAGGTGGTGCCCTGAAATAAGTAAACTCCGTTAACACCAATTACAACCAATTGAGAATATGGAATGCTTTTTTATGACATCTTCAAATCTTGCAGTTTTAAGATTGACTGTAAGAGAAATAAAACAAATTGCAACATGTTCTAAAAATATATATTCTTAAAAATGGAACTTACTGGAGATGATGAATCCTCTAAGAATCCATGCTTTATTTGTAGCATGATTTCTAACTCATTAAACAGGCTGTTACTATAAAGTTTACAGAAGTAAACATATTGGCAAATAATAATGTTACAGAAAATGAGTCTTAAATATTCCTCTTTGTGTTGGAGGTAAACTTTGCATCCCTCTCCCAATTCTGCCAATGGGGCTCCTATTAACAGTTTCTTCTGTACTCTGCTCTTTCACTTACCTAGGCCACACTGTTATTCTTTGAAATGCAGAACCATGCCTAGTTAGCTGTCCTAGCTGCAGGCTAGGAAAACATAAGAAAGACCTGGAATACCTCGAACATGGGCCAGGACGCTCCGTTGCTGCATTATTTCACAGGACAGATTATAAAAGAAATAAAATGTGCTTAAAAACAAAGCCTGAAATCACAGCATTGAATTAGTGTTTACACTGGGTGGGTAATATTTTTCAGGCAACGGCAAAGTTAGTGCACCCTCACAGCTCCTGAGTTAAGTCAATGTCTGCTTTTAGGTGAAGTCACATCGGTACTGTTGAGGCCAAAGAAACTACTACCTCTTAACTCTCTGCACAGTCAGGAATTCCTCAGGAACAACTCTGAGCTATAAAGTTGCCTTCCCCTCCTTGGCGGGGCTTGAAGAGTAGAAGACATGGCTCAGCTACTGTGAGCCTGGCACAGGAATAAACACTGATCATGAAATACTCAGTTGGATCTAAGAGAACTCAACTTTTTTTTGGTAAAAGATCTACTTAATAGAAGCTTATTTTTATGATACCTGCTGATAAAATGTGCCAGACTTTCAAGGATTTTCAGTCATTCCCTCCTTGTCTTAAAGGTGATGTCTCTTAAATGCACAGGCTACATTTAATAACTCCTGATGACAATGTTATGGAGAAGAAAAGGAGACTTACAGTTCTATTAGTCATACATGACATGTTACTATTAGTCATACATGATCCTTTATTTATTGGGATAAATGAACAGGAAAAATGTAGAAGGAAGCCGAAAAAGACTACAAAATACATAAGGCCAGAAAATATACTGAAGGTCTGAATATGCAATTTATGTGCTAAATGGAGCCACACTGCCTAAAATCTCTACAGGAATTCTTTTCTGGAGAAGTTTGGACACCAACTGTGGTAAACCAAATCTTCAGAAAGATGACTGTCTTTATTGCGACTGTCACAGGTTAGGGCTGGGCCAGCCACTAAATGCGAACAGACGCTCTCTAATCCCCTCTTCCCTCCCTGAACAGGAAGGAAAAGAGAATAAGGCAGAGAGACTTACGGGTTAGGAAAGAAAAAACTAGAACAGCTTTAATGAAACAATAATGGAAATAATAGTAAAATGACAAAAACAAAGAACTACATACAACTATATATAAGCCCCATATCGAACCCGACTCCACCCCCCAATAGCAATCCCCACTGATGCTGCAGAGCAGGAGGCACTGGGGAAGCTCCAGGCTCAGCGGTGGTGGGAGCTGGATACAGGGAGCTGGATTCGGGGACTCAGGATCCGGATCAAAAGCAGGAGGTCAGATGGAGTCCTCCCTGGACACCGGCCGTTGCAGAAAAGGGGACAGAAACTCTCATGATCACTCCATTTATATTAAATATGATGTATATAGGATGGAATACTCCCGTTGGTCACCTGTCCTGTCTGGAGGTGCCACCTTTTACTGCCTTGTGACCCCTCTTACTACCTGGCACTCCCAGTGTGTCACACAAGAGCCAGCAGTGGCCTTGGTCACTGTGGGAATAAGTATAAAGCAAGAGCCTTTCTGCATCCTAGTCCCGGGCAGTAACTGTAAACATCAGGTGTTATCACTGTCTGTAGCACACACTCTCTGCAAAAACATGCTACTGACTTCAGAAAGTGCAGCTTCTTGAAAGAGACTGAGCTGGACAGTAAAAATCACTAAACAGGACAGCAACCAACAATTTTTTTGCATGTGACTGAACTTTATGAAGTTTTGTTTCAACTATTTGTATACACGTAGCTATACAAAGCATAAATGTAAAATATGATGGGGTTTGTATACCATTTTTATATCTGGGATCACATCAGGTTTGTGACAACAAATGATAATTTCTGGCCTTCTAAATGCTTAGCTTGTTCTCAGTTATTGAGAGGTAGTATGTAATAGAGTAAGAAGCAGTTTATAAACTCGCAAAACATTGACAATGTCTTAAGGATATTTAAGAACAGCACTAACTGCCAATTTTTCAAAAGAGATACAAATAATTACAACCCAGCTTTCAGAGGACAATTATATAAAACCCATGATCTTCTCACAGTTCCTGTATTTTCATGAGATATCAAATACCAAAAGTCCATCCTGAAACTGATAATTAAGGATAAGCCTCTATATCTTGCATGACTTCCAGTTACCAGCAAACTGCATTTATTTACAACCAAATCAGAATGAAATACAGTGCAGAAAGATGTTTTAGTCTCACAGGAGGTAAGTTTTGTTTCTAAGATTCCATATTTGCATATTATCAAACATGTATTTTTGTGAACTCTTACTATTCCAGAAGCAGTTCCTTTCAAACAGCTGAGGACTTCTGCTAACAGACCAAACGCATCAATCTCATCTTTCTTAGATGCCATTCTGACAAGAATTATCAATATTCCGCATCTAAGAAAACTTACCAATCAATGATATTAATCAATGAGAGTAGTAGAGAAAGAAAATATACAGACAAATGAAATTATGGCTATCCTAGGTAAATGAGAGTTTATCTACACTGTATAATAAAAGCTTTGCATTCCAGGAAACCCTAGTCATGTTAACATTGGTAATAATCATGGAGAAAATCTCAAAAAACTCTGTTGCTACTGCGTTGATTTTGGATTTTTTTTTGATTGCAAAGAAATCACCACAAGTATCACAAATAGATATGTCAGATTAGTCTACATATAGTTTTAAACCATTCCTTAAACAATATGGGTTCACAATCAGTTTTTATCATCCTAACAAGTGCTGGCTGAGTGAGAAATAGGAATGTTTGTACATGCAGATGTTCTCAGTTGTTTAGAATATGGTTCTCTTTCTTGCCATACAGTAATGAATTAATGTTCTGTCACAGTGTATATAACTGGATATGCCATTTCTCATATCAAACATTAAAAGGTTCACTGGTACCTACAGGCCACAACTGCAAAATTCAAACCCACTTAAAAACTGGAATGCTATCAGCCAGAAGGAGTAGGTTGTGTTTCTTCTCTTCATGCTTTGTATTATCATTTGTAAGTTTATTCTTCCCACGAGCAAACTCAAAGAAGAGTTATTGGCATACTGTAACACAGAAGATATTTGCTAGTTTACATGTTTATACAGAGGCTGTGAAGATCATAACACCAAACCAAAATGCAGTACTATGCACCAATGTTTTCATGATAAGGATGGAGGGGCTGACACACAACGTTTACTGAGGTATTTGGCTCCACTGAGCTCCTGACACACTCTTATCTAATGATTTTATCTAGCAAGACATTTTACTATCTTGAGGTGTTCAAGATTTTCCAACTCTGCTAATTACAATTATAATTGAGCTGTGTGTCTACCAGATATATTTAAAATATTTAATATACATTATTTTATCTTCCTCTTTACCCCCACTTGTGTTCAAACTCCCAACTCCAACAGCTTCCTATACAAGGGGAAGAAACTACCTTAACCGTTTTTTGCTTTTGTCTGCTGTCACATAGACTTCTTAACATGGCACCAATACACAGCTGGGAAGCCATGTAGTTCAAATCCTCACTAACACGAGAACATAAAAAACCCCTTTCTGCTAACAGTGATTATTCAAGTAATGAAAATAATTTCACAAATTAAGTTAATACTTATTATTTTCTTGTCCTTTTGGTTTACACATTTTAGGATTACTCTCAAATTCAGAATTTAGAAAAGTCATTTCAGCTATTGAAAGATACAATAAACAAGCTGAAAACCTAAGCAGTCTATTAAATAGGCATGTCTACTAGGAAACTCCTATTTCTTCAGATATCATCATTTATCCTATTATAACATTTGTGTTCAGTTTTTAAAAATCTGATGGACTCAGTCCCATGAGCTGAAACATGTTTAATGTCCTTTGATGTAATACAGCTGCAATTCACCAAAAGCAAAATTAAGAGGTATAAGGGGGCCATTTCACATTAAAATCACTCTACAGATGTGTTAAAGGTTGGCTTTTGTGATTAATTTGTAGCTGTTGAAATGATGACCCTTGCCTGATACTTCAGTGATTTGGCAAAGGAAGATAGTGTAATTGCCAGTACTCACAGATCATTTATTTGGAAGCAAAGACAGTAAAATATGGACCAAAAATCACTTTAGGACATTTTTGACTCATATCAGGGGAAATTTTTATTGAATATTACATTTTCAGATGGAATGAAGCTTGCATTTATGAACTGAAAGTACATAAAACTGCTTGTGATTTGGGAAACATAAAAAACCCCTAGATTTTATTGAGGAATTTCATATGATTAATTAGATACTAATCCCACAGAAATTCTCTAGTAGTTCTGACAAGAGCAATGTTTAGATTTTTTCTCTTTTTCCTGTTAGGAAATTAGAATACATTTGAAAATTACCCTTCTGTCCAGGAAGCAGTGAAAAAGCCCCTTATGAAACCTCTGAACATCCTTTTGAA